AGAACCGTCGAGTTACCCTAACACTGTATATTATATAAAACATTGAGGTGTTACCCTATCTTGGTACATCACAGCAGAATACGGGACAAAGAATTCAGACACTAGTGTCGACGTTGTGTCTTTTTTGTAAGAGCTGCGGAATTCTGCAATGTAGAAAAGTAATATAGATTACATGTAATTTTAATGTAAAATCGAATTGATAAAAAAAAACATAGAAAATGTATCGAGTTAAGCACTCTAGAGGAGCAACTGTTCTTGATGCAATGATACCAAGATTATAATATCACACCCTCTGTCAGTTATGCGTTAACCAACATAATTTATAAAAAAACTAATCCCATTTCTGATGAAACCTTACACTTTGTGTTAAGTTTATAAAATGTACAAAACCAAAAGTAAACAAGGACTCACCCGGCTTGACCAGAGACTCATGGACGTTCATGTAACGATCTCTGAGGGGGGATTGTTGTGTGTGAGTGGCGCCAATAGCGTGAAACATTTCGTGAATATTGATGCCCTGCATAATATATACAATAAAACATGGTTCTTCTTCTTCTTCTTCGTTCTTAATTATTAGTGTTGAAGGGGATCGAGATTTATCTGCCAGTGGGTTTGAACTCGAGACTTTGTTCGAATTTATCAACCATGAGCTTTTTGCCGACTCGACCACGCCTCCATCACAATTAAGCGTTACGTGTCAACTGGTTATGCGCTATTGAGGCCATTGACTCCGATTTCAGCCTGCTTTTCTTTTTGGATTTGCTTCCATAGCCTTTGTCCAACCAAGAACAAACTACAAGGCAGCAGTTGTTTAATTTTGGAGTTGTCTCTCCTAGAAGAGTGGCTGTCCCCAGCTAACGAGCCTCATCTGCCCGAGGGTTCGAACTCGAGACTTTTCGGTTTAGCAACCATGAGCTTTACCGACTCGACCACGCCGACCCCTAAAAAACATGGTTGATATAAAGAAAGGCGTGGGTTTCTTCATAACCATTAGTAAAAGTATCCAATAGATAATACAGTGACCCACATTTTCTTTAAAGTTATTTAAATAGTAGTGTATTTTTATATTATATTTAAATAAAATCATTTCTTTTCTACATTTTAATCCATTATAACACAAAAGCTTGTTATTAAAACGCTTTTATTCTTTTTTCAGTACTTTAAAATGTTTTATATTATCGAGTTTCATTGCGAAAACAATTGCGCAAAATTGAATATGATTATTCGCGTATTATAGTTCGGAATAGTAGCAGTAAGACACTCTACTTATTTTAGAATGTTTTAATCAAATTATAAACAATTAATTATTCTTCCAATTAAGTCAAATTTGCTCTTAGATAGCATTGTCATCGGGCTTGACTCCACGTGTTGAATTCCTAAGAAATTGGTCGGTTATAAGTGTTCGATCTTTCGCTCGGCCGTTTTGATATATGACAACAGAAATGACGAGGAAGCAAGTTAAATAAAAGCTATTAATAAAGGAAGATTGATATAAATTAATTGGAGGCCGATGCATGTATATTTTGAAAATAAAAGTAGATAATGCTCTGTAAATGTCATAAAAAAAATAATCATCTAGGTTAATGTTTTGTAAATTTTATAATAGAAAATAGTAAAACTAAAATACTAATAATGCGGAATGTATTTTCAAAGTAATTATAGCAAGATTAGATCACCAAATTTATTTTATTTTCTCACGCTTTAACCTAAAATCATAACACGATTTCAATGTAGATTTATTTTTTCCCAAAAAAAAAAATAAGAAAAAAAAAAGAAAAATACAATTATCATTCACTATATCGATTTGATAATTACAAAAATAAAGTTCGATATTTAAAATACTTAAAAAAATAATTTTATAATGACAAAGGCAACAACATAATAGCAATCATGGTAATGAGACTTGATTGATTCTGTTGACAAAATATGTGTTTATTTAGTTAGTTATATAGAAATTACCAAGTCTACATTAATTAATTGACAATGTTTACTCTATTCTACAATATTATTCTTAATAGATCTAATACACAGGTATACTTCGTTAGATTAATATCTTCGATGCTACATAGTTGGCGGTTAAAAAAGACAGCCTAGTCAGCGGTTAAACTTACAACTCCGTCGCATGGGGATACTATTATTGATGCTGAGTTATTTCCCTGTCCATTATCCGATGTACACCTGGAATAAAGACAGAATTAAGATTAGTAGACATGCAGGAACATGTTTAGTAAAGATAGGATCGAGAAACAACTTTTTTTATGAACATGTAATGCCATACCCGCCTGTCGTTTTTATGTTCATGTACGAGTTGGTTTCGAACCCTTGACTAGAGAACCATATGGGGTCTTCAGGGTCGTAGGCGTTGGTGACGTCATTGAATGTGATGCACAATCGGCTGGAGATGTGTTCCATCACCTGCCTCAAGGTCCATTGGTCACCTGAACACAAAATAAATGTTAGGTTTATTTTGCATAGATCGTTATACATCTGTCTGTCTGTCTGTCTGTCTGTCCGTCTGACCGTCTGTCCGTCTGTCCGTCTGTCCGTCTGTCTGTGTCTGTGTCTGTCTGTCTGTCTGTTTGTTTGTCTGTCTGTCCCTCAGTTCGTCTGTCTGTCAGTTTGTCTGTCTGTTTGTCTGTCTGTCATTAAAAAAAAACTCACCAGTGTAAGAAGGGTCGATGACGTAAGGGATAACATGTGGCCACGTTCGAGCAGTCTCGTTAAACGTGGCCCTCTTTTTCCGATGCCCGTGCTCTACCCACTCGACCATGTGCAGCCCGCTAGCTCTACGTTAATCGGTAGTGGGGTGGGGGGGTTGGAGGTTAATATTTTATATACCCATATGTAAGCAAGCATGTACAACACTTTTGTATAGACTCGTTATTAACAACGTAAAGTAGTTTGTAAAACGTAGGTTCCCATCTCAAAACCTCAGTTTTCCCCATCCCACAATAAACCGGACCTAAGTATTCATATGTGCATCATGTATTGACCATCTCAGCCACAACTAAGTTCCTCGTTCATTTCTTCTTTACTTTACTTTGACAACTCTAACGCCTACACACATGAGAATCATACTTTGACACCTCTAATCGCGTACACATGTGCCACTGACACCTTTAGCGACTTACAGTCGTGCCACTAACACCTTTAACCAATGAAACCTGTGACAGTGACACTGCCACTTTTTATCTACAACACAAGTTAGACTGTCACCACTAATCACCTCCACGTATGACAGTGACATAGACACTAACACCTGTACACACCTGCTAATTCGTCGCTGAACGACCGTGACATTTTCGTCTCCTCCAATGCTAACCTGTAAATTAAAATATTTGTAACAATATACGATATCTCAGGTCAAAAGGCCCTTCGTATATATATATATATATATATATATATATATATATATATATATATATATATATATATATATATATATATGTATGTATGTATGAACATATATATATATGTGTGGGCCATACGTATGTGACTCAGTGCACTATGACAAAGTTCACATTGGTTAAAATTCTATTGTATCCCTGTGAAATTAAGACCTGAGACTGAATCGCGTAAGATGTAGGATTTGTCTATTCATGTTATTACAACAGTTATCAGCTTATCCTCCTGCATAAGATAATCCCAGTTAATCTGCTAATACGTAACTTGCTACATAAAGATTATTCTACCTTAATATTTTCTGCTAATACAATTTTATTTTTTATATTTTAATCCGGTCAACGTTAGTAAGACTATCAAATCGCATTGAGAACAGCACCAAATGAAGTACAAATATTACAGAAAAGAAAGACGGCTTCACAAGATTATATAACAAAATGTAAAGCTTATGTTGCATTAATGTTATAGAATATGAGGGATATGTTGCACTACTGAGTGTTTATATCTATCGCTACAGGGCATGAAAGTTAGTAGCTTTATTTCTTTTACAAGTTATAAGAACGATCCATGAACGTGCATCATATCATGAAAGAATAGGATAACTAATATTATCCTATTATATTCAAACATATGCGGGGATTTAAATTGAAATGGATGATATCTATAGCTTTAGAAAGTAACTTCAATAATTTAGACCTTCCTTCACTTCTCTAAATTACTACATTTGTCGTGCTTACAAGTACACGTACACGTACACGTACACGTACACGTACACGTACACGTACACGTACACGTACACGTACACGTACACGTACACGTACACGTACACGTACACGTACACGTACACGTACACGTACACGTACCTGCACCTGCACCTGCACCTACACCTACACCTACACCTACACCTACACCTACACCTACACCTACACCTACACCTACACCTACACCTACACCTACACCTACACCTACACCTACACCTACACCTACACCTACACCTACACCTACACCTACACCTACACCTACACCTACACCTACACCTACACCTACACCTACACCTACACCTACACCTACACCTACACCTACACCTACACCTACACCTACACCTACACCTACACCTACACCTACACCTACACCTACACCTACACCTACACCTACACTACACCTACACCTACACTTACACCTACACCTACACCTACACCTACACCTACACCTACACCTACACCTACACCTACACCTACACCTACACCTACACCTACACCTACACCTACACCTACACCTACACCTACACCTACACCTACACCTACACCTACACCTACACCTACACCTACACCTACACCTACACCTACACCTACACCTACACCTACACCTACACCTACACCTACACCTACACCTACACCTACACCTACACCTACACCTACACCTACACCTACACCTACACCTACACCTACACCTACACCTACACCTACACCTACACCTACACCTACACCTACACCTACACCTACACCTACACCTACACCTACACCTACACCTACACCTACACCTACACCTACACCTACACCTACACCTACACCTACACCTACACCTACACCTACACCTACACCTACACCTACACCTAACCTACACCTACACCTGCACCTGCACCTGCACCTGCACCTGCACCTGCACCTACTCCTACTCCTACTCCTACCCCTACTCCTACAAGTATATATACATGTTAGAAATCATATACATATATATATATATATATATATATATATATATATATATATATATATATATATATATATAGATAGATAGATATATATATGTTAAAAACTGCTTTTACCAAAAAGATATATAACTGAGCAGAAAATTAGAAACACGTTTTTTTTTTCTTTATTCTTAATTCTATTATTGGAAGTGATTTACTTATACAAAATGAATTATAACTCTTTAACGTGCTATTTTCAATATGCCATTTGACTCCGACTTCAGCCTGCTTTTGATTTTACGTGTATGTTTGAAGCCTCGTTTGTACCTATTTTCAAGGGTGAACGGAAAAAGTCACAGGAAAAAAAGTCACAGAAAAAAAGTCACAGAGAAAAAGTAACAAAAATCTTTTAAGAAATATTTTTTTTTTTAAATTTAATTGTTGTATATTGTTATATTTTGAGTGTTTATTTATGTGGGTGGTGCTTTTTTGTGTAGCATATTTGCAAATATTAAAGCATTATGGTTTAAAACAAAATTACATAAAAATACTATAAGATAATTGATACAGCAACCTCATATTTTGTTACGTATTTAGCTAAATACGCGGAAGTTTAAAAAAAATATTATTAAAGACATTTAGGCACATCAGCCTAATCCGTCCATATTGTTTTGTTGACCTTTTGCGTCGATGACAGTCTTTTTACCGAGTCGGCTTTCTGTTTTGATCCTATGCTATGTTATGTAAAGTGCGTGAATATGTTATCATAAAAAGTGGTTGAACTGTTGTTGCGATGAGTTGAGTGCAGAAATTCAGATTATTTACGTTTTATGCCACCTCACGCTAAGTTAAAGCTAGTGTGTAAAAAAACACGATGAAAACCAAGAAGGTTAGAACGTTCTATCATATTCTATTAAATATTACATATAGGCCTATTACGGAATTAAAACCTACGTACTTCTTACAAAATTTTAAATAAATATGCGTATACAACCTACACACATTACATTTAATTACTCGTAAGGTGATTTGCACTTTCTGAATATTTAATAAATAAAAGTATTAACACATTTCATACAAATATATTTTTGTGACTTTTTTCCTGTGACTTTTTTCCCTACAATTATTTGCAAGACAGCAGTTGTTTGATTTTAGAGTTTTTATCCCTAGATGAATCGCTGTCCCAAGTTATCGAGCCTCATCTACGATGTAACGGGTTTATAAAGGAAACCTTTATATTCAGCTATGCGATATAACAGTGAAGTTGTTGAATCCATATCTCATGTGTTTCATATTAATTTGACTGGCATAGATTGTTATTTAGTTCACCATGTCAATACTTCACAAGCTTATGATCACCCCGTGGAATAATACCCTATTAGTTCATACCATAATTTTATGCGTGTTATGTGTTACCCCCCCCCCCCTCCCTCCCCCCCCCCCCCCTTCCTTCACCCCTTTTACAATCTATATATATAATTCTCTTCATCGAGACAATGCGAGACACCACGTAAACGCACGTTGTTACTCCCCCACTCTCTAGCCATATAGCTACCCCCACCCCCACCATTCTGGTGAGCTAAGGTTCACCCCGAATGTTTACAATCGTAGAGCCGGGTCGAATTAGTAACGGCTATTAGGGGCAGATAATTTAGCTTTTAAACGATTTTAATTTAAGGAGAGTTAAGAAGCTTTGCTTGATCTTTTCATTGTCGTCCTTAAAATGTCTTCACGGACGGCTACTTTTACGGGCCGGGGGAGGGGGGGGGGGGGGGGGCGAGGAATGGAAGGTAGGGTAGTGTCGACTTCACTAACTATGAAGTACTGAAAAGTCTAAAATAAAACAACTAAATAGTGGCGTATGATACACCGTGGTTCAGTCCGTCTTATAAATAAGCGTACCTCACAACACAAAAGGGAAATAACTTACTTCTTGCTTCCCGAGAGTTAAGGTTGTTGAACCAAGTAAAATGATGAATGCTAAACAACCCATCATCACAGCTGCCATCTGTAAATATCAAGTGAACTTGTCAATAATACAAATGTAAATTGTGTCAAGTTCATTTAATAAATTTGTTTTTTTTTATATTTATACATACTTATTTTCATCGTCTGATAACATTGTATAATTGCGGCTTGATTTTTAAAACGAAAAGGATTAAATTGAGAAGAATTAGATTTTGCCTATGTACCAACATCCTTTCTCCACACAGCTGAAAGGTTCCAAAAGAGAGGGTTGGGTTTTAAACCCTGATAACGAATTTCGTCTGACCAGTGCTCGAACTCGGGTTGTTCGTATTAACAACCACGCGTTTTCTCTCCCGACCACCCAATTTAATTTATATACAAATTAAAATACAAATTAAACAATCTAACTAAACTTGATAATATCCCAAAAAGTGTTAGATCAATACAATTCATCAACCTAGCAGCAGTTTTGTATGAGAGCCCTTATACAGTGAGGTTATATAACCTCTACTTATTTCTTCATCAGTGTATATTCCTTGTAGTTTCGCGTAATGAGTTATGCTACACCCAGTATCGGTCTTACAACGCCTGGTGTAGATGCACGCACAGAATACAAAAATGGCTCTTTTAAGAACAGTTACTGGCCCACGATTTCTTAGCCGACTATTCTCCACGTTTTTCTGCTTCAAGTCTACAGTGGAATCATCACCTACTCATTTAATCTGTTACCGTGTGTACTTCTCAACTATGTTTCCTTCATCACTGACTCGCTTTTAACAGGTTTTTAAAAATATCTAGATTTTCTATTTTTTTATAAATCCCATGTGTCAATGATTCAAATATATTTAAAAATTAAACCTAACGTTAATTTCGAAAAAACATATTACCATTTACAGAAATAAATTGCATATTTATTAGTAAGATGAGAAGCATTTATTTGATATATATATATATATATATATATATATATATATATATATATATATACATATATATATATATATATATATATATATATATATATATATATATATATATATATATATATGAGACTTTAAATAATGTATAACCACTCAACTAAATATATTGGTTAAGCTTCGCGGATACCCACGTATCCTAGAGCAGAAGCCTGTGGTTTGTGAGGAACACAGTAAATGCATCAATACAAAAAATATAAACAGTAATTACCTCTGAGCGAGTAGAAACGTCTGAAAACTTTGAAGTTTTGTTATGTTTTGTCAGTGCACAGATTTGGTGAACAGCCAGTTAGGTAATGCACTATATATAGTTTTTAATGGTATAGAGTAACCGCCCCTTACTGTGTGTAAGTGGACTTAGAATTTAGATACCTGCTGTGTTTGGCTCAAGATAGCTCTAAGCTCTCATTTCATAACAGTGATTTGTAGACTACACGGAGCTTACGTCGTTTGCTGAAGTGAGATTAATGAACATTACTTGAGGTTTAATATCATCCTTCGGTCGGATTTTACCCGCATTCATCAATCCAACCATATTCTTTTAGTCATAGACAAACAGCTGCAGATGTTCAGCAAAATAACCTATGTAACATATAACATACTGACGTATGTTATATGTTCAGCCATCCCCACTACACAAAAACATCAAATCTGCTTCTTAATATTTTGGTTTGTTTTTCATTATTCTGTTTATTTAAAAACCACCACGACACCAAAGACAAAATATTGTTATAGAAACTACTAAAATTAAAAATGACCGTTAAGTAATGTATGTATTTAAATTATACATATATATATATGTATATATATATATATATATATATATATATATATATATATATATATATATATATATATATATATATATATAACCATTCATTTTATATATTTTACTTATGTGCAAAAATGAACTTTCTTCACTCTTATCTATAAGACAAACCTGCCAAATACTACATAGAGTTACGTTTAATTTGCCAGATTCAGAATTTTTTATTGTGTTTTTTTTTTACTACTGTTTGGTATATTTTAATAAGATTTTTTAGATGTTTGCCGTAGTGTAAGTGGTCTGACTTACCTCTCTATCTTGTGTCTGGGTACTTCTATAAATCAAGTGTCACATTTAGTTTTTGCGATAGTGATACTTTGAAGTATTGTAGTCTACTTCATCATCTCAAAAAATATTTAGCTAAATATAATATTAGCTAAACATACAATTAAAAAGCCATTGCGCCAAAAATAATACACAATAATAATGACAACTTCGATACTTGATAATAATGACTCTAAAATTACCATCTATTTTTATTTGTCTAATCTTAACAAGGGTCTGCGGGCATGGTTTCTTTCAGGCATTTCTTTGGGTAGGGGGACATATCCCCTCCCCCCACCCGCCGAAGAACATCTACCACCCTACCCCAACGAAATAAAATTTATATTAAAATATATAATTGTACCAGTGTAACCCCTGTCCCCCCCCCCCCACTCCCCCCCTCCCGTTATGATGCATGTTCCAAGTATAGATCGGCGCGAGTGAATGTTGATGCGAAAGGTATGAACACATGGAATGATGACCCGTAGAGTGTGACAGTGACGTTTTTGTGTAGACACTGGTTGCTGTGTATTGTGTGTGAGATAATCTGATATTCTTCGTCTTGGTGAAAGGACGCACATGATTCCAGTACGAGAAATAAAAAAATAAAAAAATAAAATAAAAATAAAAATAAAAAAATAAAAATAAATAAATAAATAAATAAATAAATGAATGAATGAATGAATGAATGAATGAATGAATGAATGAATGAATGAATGAATGAATGAATGAATGAATGAATGAATGAATGAATGAATGAATGAATGAATGAATGAATGAATGAATGAATGAATGAATGAATGAATGAATGAATGAATGAATGAATGAATGAATGAATGAATGAATGAATGAATGAATGAATGAATGAATGAATGAATGAATGAATGAATGAATGAATGAATGAATGAATGAATGAATGAATGAATGAATGAATGAATGAATGAATGAATGAATGAATGAATGAATGAATGAATGAATGAATGAATGAATGAATGAATGAATGAATGAATGAATGAATGAATGAATGAATGAATGAATGAATGAATGAATGAATGAATGAATGAATGAATGAATGAATAAATAAATAAATAAATAAATAAGAGGGGGAAGAGATGGGGTGAGGAAAGTCGTCCTTCACGAGCTAATGATAGTGTTTTAAAGAAAATATTTTAAGTCGCAGCATTGGTTGTGTCGAATTCACATATTATAAATTACTGAAAAGTAGAAAAAATAAACCGGGAGTGATCTCCCCTAAACTTTCTCGAATATTCTTATATAAAACAACAGGGGATGGGAACTCGGGATATAGTAATGATTGTTAATCCATTTTAAATACTTAAACTTTTTAAAATAAAATAGAATCTCATAGAAAAAAGTATTGCACACCAAGCGAACGCCGAATAAAGATGTTCATAATGGTGCGCAATATTATTAGTACTTTATAAATTTAGATGCGATTTTGAGAAATCGGAAATAGCGTAAATTAGTACTTCCCGTCAACTGAAATTACTCAAAAGTTGACAGAACGAAGAGAATTAGATTTTTTACTTACATGTGAAATTTCATTTATCTATCTGAAATAGTACTCAAATTATAGGCTTTTGAAAAATTCAAAGTAGAAAAAGCACCACTTCCGGTTATCGGAAATCGCTCAAAAGTTGATACGGATCTACGATTTTGATAAAATACTTATATATGAAATTTCATCAACCTAGCTGTAACGGTACTCAAGTAATCGTGTTTACACACACACAGACACACAGACACACACACACAGACATACGGACAAGATTGCAAAATTATGTTTTTCCGTATCAGTGAGGTGTAAAACGTCGAGATTTGTAAAAATCTCGATTTTTTTTTTGCACGATTACAATACTTTCTCTATACTACGTATATACGAGAAAGTAAAAAACAACTAAATAGCGGCGTATGCAACGCCGCGGGTCGGCTCGCAGAGTAAAAACGTTTTGAATATCAGGAGAAAGAATATCAGGTAACTTCATCACTTTGTATTTGAGAGAAATATCAGATTGTTAATAGTAGTGTTTAGCGAATTTTGATTGAAGTGTAACTTTTTCTATTGTTTATATAAACACTTTTTTAAATTGGGTATTATAATTATTTTGTATAACAGTTGTTCCCCTGTCTCAAAAAAATCGGATGGGGTGATGTAAAAAGAGGTTTTCAAGCATTAATTATTGGAAAGCTTTTGATAATATGTTGTCTATCCTCCTTTATACGTATCTATTTTTTGCAATAAGTAAATAATTGTTAAATTCACACAACATTATGAAAAACGTTTTGCATATTTTAAAACACAATAGCATGACTTACTTGTATTTGAATAAGAAAATACAAAAACATAATGAGAAAGAAAATTTTATTCGGAATTTAATTTTAAAATTATTATTATAGAGAACAAAAATTACCTTAACCCAATAATAATGGAGAAAATTTTTTTTACCAAGATTTTTTTTTTTTTTTTGCAAAAATAATTCAAAATAATGGAATTGACATTGGAACAAAACATTAAATAATTTAACAATCACATAAAACAAACAAAAATAAAGCGGGAGTTATCTCCCCTAAACTGTGGTTTGGAATCACAAAGGTGTATCAGATAAGTTTGTATACCAGCAGTAGGGTAACTAGAGTGAACATAGAGAGAACATGCAGTGCCAGGTAATTGTCAGATCTTCTAGTAAAAACTGTCAGTGCCAGAATATAACGAGATATATTTTATAAATTCATGCAACTATTTGGATAAAAATTAAGTTCAGATATTAAAACTATGTATAGTTTATAAACAATTGTTGATATGCATTTAGAATATAGGTAATCTTAATTATTTAATATCAGTCATTTATCTACAGTTGTTTATAAGATCAGTGATCACAGCTTAAATGGAATATTAACTAGGTGTTTAGCATATAGAAACCTGCACGCTTCATATATCTAATTGAAAAAATATTTGAAAAAGATTACCTTCCTTCAAGAAATAGGAGACGTTTAACATTAAAAGATTAAAATTGTGAAGAAATATTTTATTTGCAATAGCAAAATTTTTATGTTTTGGTTTTTTGTGGAAGACAGAGAATCAACAAGATGTATTGTTTGAACAGTTACAGCAGTTTAAAAGGGTCAATCATTTATGTTTATCACATAATGGAGAAAGGCTGTAAAAAAAGTAGATTTTTTTACGACTCATTTTAAATTTTACTTGTAACATTCGATAAAAAGACAGCACTGCTACGTGCACATACACAGTTTTCAATGTATATACAGAAGTATTTGTATACATATGTATAATTTTCAAATTAAATCTTGTGGATCACAACATCTTAGGGAATGAGTGGTGTTTCTAAATGTTAGATTTTTTAAAGACATAAATGAATGACCCCTAAAAACGAAATCCAATGCTAGTGTTATTATTAATTTTAACTCTAATCAATGAGCAAAAAAAAATATTACATTTACAAATTTTGAATCTTCATAAAGTTACAGTAAATTTCTATTTAAAGTTAAATTATAGCTTACAGGTATCATAACAATTATAGGAGTGAAATAGACCTTTGCTATTATACTAAATATAACTAAATTATTAAAAATAAAGTACAAATTTCCTTAGAATAAAGAAATGACCCCTTCCTAAAAAAAGGTAAGTTCATTAAGAAAGATTATAATTGAGCGGAAAACATGAAATGCTTGACAAAAATTTTTAATTAAAGAAATTAAATATTCTAAATACATATCAGAAATGTATTAATACTTTAATGTTAAAATTCTTTTTGGTAGAGAGTTCTGTCCTAGGTTTTTTTCGGACGCCTAGTCGATGTTTTGTCGTCTACGTTGCTGCACTTATTGGTTTTCTTGGGACAGAACTGCTCCTGGCTTTCTGCAAATGTTATATTAATATCATCAGCGTTATCAACTGGAGCTGTGCACTTGAAGCGGAACCGCTGCTGGAAGTGACCAGTGTTGGTCATGTTTGTGTTGATCCAATCAGACCAATCTCCTATATTTGTTTTTTCTGTCTTTTCTGTCTTTTCTGTTGAGATTAGGGAAATAACTATACATAAATGATTTAAGTGGCGTCAACTATAAGGGAAATATTTATAGATAATTAAAATGCTATACTTGTCCTTTATGTAGAGATACATAAATATTTATATATAAATGACTAAATGGAATGTGATTTATTTATGTATTCTGATAAGCCTAGATTAAACTATAAATGCCACAAAAAATGTTAATTATGCAAAATCATTTTTGGGTGGTTTGCTTTAGGATTTTGGAGTTGTCTCTCCTAGATGAGTGACTGTCCCGCAGCGAACTCGAGAATTTTCGGTTTAGCAACCATGAGCGTTTACAAACTCGACCACGCCGACCCCTCAAATTTACAATTAAATAATAAGAAAAACGTATAACAAATATTCAGGGCAAAATGATTTTATTTTAAGTTGCCACATAAAACTTTCTGCTAGCTAACAGATGTGTACTAAGTTATTTGATAGCCCACCTGTGTGTGTACTAAGTTACCTGATAGCCCACCTGTGTGTACTAAGTTACCTATAGCCCACAGGTGTGTACTAAGTTACCTATAGCCCACAGGTGTGTGTACTAAGTTACCTATAGCCCACAGGTGTGTACTAAGTTACCTATAGCCCACCTGTGTGTACTAAGTTACCTATAGCCCACCTGTGTGTACTAAGTTACCTATAGCCCACAGGTGTGTACTAAGTTACCTGATAGCCCACATGTGTGTGTACTAAGTTACCTATAGCCCACAGGTGTGTACTAAGTTACCTATAGCCCACAGGTGTGTACTAAGTTACCTGATAGCCCACCTGTGTGTACTAAGTTACCTGATAGCCCACAGGTGTGTACTAAGTTACCTGATAGCCCACCTGTGTGTACTAAGTTACCTGATAGCCCACAGGTGTGTACTAAGTTACCTGATAGCCCACCTGTGTGTACTAAGTTACCTGATAGCCCACCTGTGTGTGTACTAAGTTACCTATAGCCCACAGGTGTGTACTAAGTTACCTGATAGCCCACCTGTGTGTACTAAGTTACCTGATAGCCCACAGGTGTGTACTAAGTTACCTGATAGCCCACCTGTGTGTACTAAGTTACCTGATAGCCCACAGGTGTGTACTAAGTTACCTGATAGCCCACAGGTGTGTACTAAGTTACCTATAGCCCACAGGTGTGTACTAAGTTACCTATAGCCCACCTGTGTGTGTACTAAGTTACCTATAGCCCACCTGTGTGTGTACTAAGTTACCTGATAACCCACAGGTGTGTACTAAGTTACCTGATAGCCCACAGATGTGTACTAAGTTACCTGATAGCCCACCTGTATGTGTACTAAGTTACCTGATAGCCCACAGGTGTGTGTACTAAGTTACCTGATAACCCACAGGTGTGTACTAAGTTACCTGATAGCCCACAGATGTGTACTAAGTTACCTGATAGCCCACCTGTATGTGTACTAAGTTACCTGATAGCCCACAGGTGTGTGTACTAAGTTACCTGATAGCCCACAGGTGTGTACTAAGTTACCTGATAGCCCACCTGTATGTGTACTAAGTTACCTGATAGCCCACCTGTGTGTGTACTAAGTTACCTATAGCCCACAGGTGTGTAAAAAGTAAACTCACCTGGACATTGTGCACTGTCACATGACTGTATATCTATATCTTGCCAGGAAATCTTCAATCAAGTTTTACTTACTTTGTGACTTTATATCAGGGCATCCTTCAATTTTCTGTTCCCATTGTTTAAGATCATTCGGGCTTGGTGGCTCTGGGGTGCACTTCTTATCTTTGTTATGCCAGCCACAGTAGGGGTCTTGGGCAGCTATACAGATCCTAGCAGTAGAAAAATTGTTACATCAAAATATTTTAAATAAGGATTTTGGTAGTTATACAGATCCTAGCAGTAAAAAAATTGTTACATCAAAATATTTTAAATAAGGATTTTGTTAGTTATACAGATCCTAGCAGTATAAAAATTGTTACATCAAAATATTTTAAATAAGGATTTTGGTAGTTATACAGATCCTAGCAGTAGAAAAATTGTTACATCAAAATATTTTAAATAGGGATATAAGGTAGTTATACACATCCTAACAGTAGAAAAATTGTGTTTTTTTTTTTAGTTTTAGTATTTATATAACTATTTTTTATTTATATTGTAAATAAATTTGCTTTATTCTAAACTAAAGAGAAAAAGTGTTGAAACTATAAACTGATGATAAGTCTCCAGACAACTTACTTCTTTGTACTAAGCCTCTCACAGCGCTGCAGGGGGATTTTGATGATGTTTTCTCTAATCGCAATGAAAAGAGAGTTCTGGAAATAGTAGGAAGTGCAATTTTACCAGAGGCGTAGCGAGGGGGGGGGACGACGACATATGTCCCCGGGCGCCGACGTTAGGGGGCTCCAAAATGGGTTGGAAAAATAAATTGAAAGGTTGAGGGGGGTGCAAATCGAAAAGTTTGTGTCCCCGGGCGCCGGAAAGGGTCGCTACGCCTCTGAATTTTACAATCAACTAACGACAATGGAAATATTATTTTTGGCTTGGTTTCAAAGAGATTCACTAGTCTAATTGTAATAATGGTAAAAAAAATTCGGCTAGCCATACTATATACACGTAAAAAATAGGCTTGCTTGTCTAGTTGTAGGCCAACAACATACGGGTAATAAAAAGATTTACTACACTAGTCATACTACATAAAGGTAAAAAGAAGTAGAACAAAATCCACTAGGCTAGTCATGCAACATACAGTTCTAAATAGAGTTTCACTATACTAGTCATAAGATAATTTTAAAAATGTTGAACATACGTGAGCTTTGGAAAGTTTCATGTTCTGTATTACGTCACTTTTGTTGGGCACTACGTGGAGTTCTTCAATAAGACAGACTTCTTCTGCCTTTGGATTTTTCATCATTTTAAGAATTTTGCCTTCCTCAGTAGCCAGGAATATGATTTCAAATTGTTTTCCTTTAGATGTCAGGTGGTGTACTACAATTTGGTTCCATCTGGAAAATTCAAATTTTATTAGTTTCTAGATGGTCTTCACCTATATGTCCACATAGAAAAATAAACTTTTTTTAGTTTCTAGATGGTCTACACGTATATGTCTACATAGAAAAATAAAATTTTATTAGTTTCTAGATAGTCTACACCTATATAGATCCACCCGGAAAATTCACATTACATTGAATTTTGTTGATTATCTATCGCATAGAAATTTAAAAAAAAATTATTAGAGTGAATTTTGCAAAATGCTAAAAATAAATCAAGCTGACTTTATAACTAAATCTGAATATTTATATAAACCCCAATAAACATAAATAAAGTTGACTAAATCTGACAATGAATGCAAACTTCAAAAGAGTACTCACCTTTCATTTCGTGTCATAATAAGAGGTTGATTATTTTTTGGCATGGCTGCCTGATCCATTAGCACATCATTTCCAGGTCCCTCGCCTGGTCTTCTTTTAATCTGCGATTTTTTATTTTCTGCACACTAAAAGTGTTTTGAAAATGATATAAAAATTATAATCTTGCTCTGTTTTAGTGGAAAAAAAAATAACCTTTTCAAAGGGTAATTTTTAAAAATAAGTTTCTTTAAACCAAAACAATTATGTTTTCTTCTTCTTCTGTGTTCTTAATTTTATTGTTGGAAGAGATTCCCTCCAACACAATTAAGTATACGTTTCAAATTTGATATGTGCCATATAGGCCGGTGAATTCGATTTCAGCCTGCTTTGCTCCGATAGCCTTTGTCCAACCCAGAACAAACTACAAGGCCGCAGTTGCTTCATTTTATAGTTATCTCCCATAAAAGAGTTGCTGACCCCAGCTGTCTCATCTGCCAGTCAATCAAGACTTTTTGGTTTAGCAACCATGTGCTTTATCGACTCGACCACACCAACCCTGATGATTTTTTAAAAATATAAGCAGTGTCTTATACATGCACTAGGTATAGAAAGGGTCTGCAACATATTCAAATCAGCATCTACATCTTAATGTTTGATGAAGTTATTTAAAAAGTATCAGTGAAAACATTAATCATGAAAAATAGAGAAACCTATCTAAAACTAACCTGTCTACTGTTGTTGTTAGGCTTGGCTAGCCATAAACTATTGTAGTGTTCTTGAAACTTAAATGGGCTTTCAAAAGCATTTTGAAAGCTTGTCATACTATATACACAAACAGCTGAACCCGCCATGCCATTCCTGAAACAGATGGGGTGAAGTTTTCCGTGTAAAATGTTCTTTTAGACACTATTCTATGAAAATATTCTGTTCATCAAATTCTTTAAAACAAGATTTTAGGTTTAAAAACTATAGAACAATACCTAACCAACAAATTCTTTAAAAACACATTTTTTTTTTCGATAGAAATCTATAGAACAAAAATTCCTATAAAGAATAAAACATTTTTTACAGTTGTAAAAATAATACTACTTTTTTTTAACCTAAGCAGTGGAGTTAAAAAAGAATTAATTTAATATAGTTTAAGCCTATATGAAATAATTATACTGCCGGAATAATGCATGCCTTTAGCAATATTAAAGAGCCAGGGTAAAAATTAAAACTAAAAATACTGTGATTTGTTGAATTCTTAACAATTTTGGTTGCCCTACGGTCATGGCCTTGGAGAACACAGTTTCTTCCAGGCATCTCTTTGAAGAAAGTCTACCGTCCCCCAAAAGAAATGGCATTTATATAGAAAGGATATCCTTTTAACATTGCCCCCCCCCCCCCCTCCACGTAAATTTTAGTCCGTCCCCTACGTCCCCCCTCCCCTGAAAATTTCAAGAGGAAAAAGTCTGGAGAACACAGAGCAAGTCATACGCCAAAACCTAGCACAATCTAAACTCTGGCCCCCACACACCACTCAATGAAAACTTATGTGGTGTCCACGGATCTGGAGTCCAGTTCATTAAAGAAGTTGGATTTGTCTAATTAAGAACAAAGAAGAAACATGCATTAGCATAATGGACACATACTTGGGTGTTGTAAACACACCATACACCAACTTCTTGTCTTCTGAGTAATACGTTGACTGAAGCTCATCAAAGTAAAAGGGGTATTCCCCTGGCAAAGAGCAATTGAGTCTTGTTTTTAAAAATGTAGTCCAGGTGCCAACTCCTTTGTTATGCTAGAAACATCAAGAGATAATGGCGAAGAAAATGTATAAAAATAATACATTTTTAGCACATAATCTACATATATATATATATATATATATATATATATATATATATATATATATATATATATATATATATATATATATATATATATATATATATATGTATGTATATATATATATATATATATATATATATATATGTATATATATATATATATATATATACATACATATATATATATATATATATATATATATATATATATATATATATATATATATATATATATATATATATATATATATATATATATATATATATATATATATATATATATATATATATATATATATGTAAAGCAATGCATGTATGTCTGTGTGTGTGTGTCTGTTTGTCTTTTATGCATTACTACACCTTTCATCCGATCACCATGAAACTTGTTGAAAATACGCATAGGAAGGTATCTGTGATTTGTCTCTATAAACGGTATATTTAAAAAAATAAGTCGGATACTGTTTGACACTATTCATTAGAATACCACAAAACGTTGCGGAGAAGATAAGAATACCCCCGAGAAGATTTCTGAAATAAAATGTCTTCTGGGCGGTGCGATTTTTGTCAATACACGTTTTGGCGACCAGAGTTCTAGAGTTGCTATGTAAGCACTTAACATCCTTTAATCAGGCGTCCTGCAAAGAGGGTAGGTGGTACTACTTTATTCAGTGCTAATACTGCAACAGGCAAAACAGCTGGCTCCTTGGCAAATCCGAGGCCCAAGGCGAGACATCGGCGCCTACATTTATTTAAATAAAGGCTATACACTAAAGATACGATTGGCAACAGTTATCGTTGACTTTATCACATCATACTCACCCTCTGCGCCCCGGCAAAGGGTAATTGGGCGCCCCGGGCTTATTCGTGAGCACCATAGCGCCTATGTTTATTTCAAACAGCTCTATAGGCTTTGGATAAAATGGGGTGCTATAGTCGCTCACTAAATCATCCAGCCTCCCGTGAGCGCTATAGCGCCTACGCTTGTTTTAAATGTGGCAGCATAGTAGTTTACTAAACATAATCAGTCGCGTCTACAGATACGCCAGCAGGGTGTGATTTTGAGCCCTGCGCTAACCAGTGAGCAATATGCATCTACGTTCCTTTTTAATGAACACCCTACAATATTGACAAGGCAGCACACGACATTGGATGATTAAATCGAGCCAGGGGCCGTACGTGGCACATCTGCAGTAGTGCAATAGAGGCTCAAGGGAGCACCCTTCTATGTCACAGAAACTTATACTGAAAGTGATTAACGGGGATATTACGGCGAGTGATTAACGTACACTCAAGGCTTTCATAGAGCACTCTAGTTTCGGTCAATTTTATACACCTATAAATTACCAATTATTTAAAAAATTAAATACTTACTGCTAATTCTGTGTCTGATACGGTTATGCCTGATCCTTCGTCATACTAGAAACGTCAAGACAAAGTAAGGAAAAAATATTTTAAAATAAAACAAATTTTAGCAGATAATGTACATATATTTACCTGAAACATTTTTATAACATAGGCCTCGTCAAAATTACACAATTGGCCTAATTTTTGTTTTAGAATCGACTAATGTATAAATGTAACTAAAATTTTATATTTTAATAATTTTTTTTCTCACTACTATATCTACATCTAAACTCTAGCTTCGACAGAGTTTCTTCCAGGCATCTCTTCGGGGGGGGGGGGGGGGGGGGGGGGGAGGGGGCAAAGCCCGAAAATTTTATACCGCCCCCTCCCCCGAAGAAAGTCTACCGCCCCCCCCCCCCCCCCCCGAAAATTTCAAGTGCCCCCCCCCCCCCCGGAGAAAAAAGTCTGGAAGAAACACTGAGCTTCGACAAATGTTATATACCTAAAACGATACAATACCTATTTTTAAAACTTAAATACTATAACTAATTTTGAATAGCAGGCTCTTCTTCTTCTTCTTCTTCTTCGTTCTTAATTATTAGTGTTGAAGGGGATCGAGATTTATCTGCCAGTGGGTTTGAACTCGAGACTTTGTTCGAATTTATCAACCATTAGCTTTTTGCCGACTCGACCACGCCTCCAACACAATTAAGCGTTACGTGTCAACTGGTTATGCGCCATTGAGGCCATTGACTCCGATGTCAGCCTGTTTTCTTTTTGGATTTGCTTCCATAGCCTTTGTCCAATCAAGAACAAACTACAAGGCAGCAGTTGTTTAATTTTGGAGTTGTCTCTCCTAGAAGAGCGGCTGTCCCCAGTTACCCAGCTAACGAGCCTCATCTGCCCGAGGGTTCGAACTCGAGACTTTTCGGTTTAGCAACCATGAGCTTTACCGACTCGAACACGCCGACCCAATAGCAGGCTAATTTTTGGGAATTACTGAACTTTCATTTTGTTATTTATGTTTTTAATAAAATCAACTGACCTTGCACACTCTAGCAACTCTTGAAAAAACCACCTGAAGAGAGAAACAAAATCTGATTAAAGGGAAGTAGCTTTGTAACAAGTTTCGGTTTTCGACTAGCTAGTAATGTCCCCTACATCGGCTGAAAATTCACCTTCGGTAAAAATTCTAAAACGTTAATATGGTTTAACTAATACGAGCCGACCCGCGGCGTATCATACGCCGCTATTTAATTGTTTTATTTTCTACTTTTCAGTAATCTATAATTTGTGAATTCGACAGTACCAATGCTGCCACTGAAAATATTTGCTTAAAATCACTAACCCCCCCCTCCCCCCCCCCCACCTGAAAGCAGCCTCCTCTTAGTTACCTCCTCTAAGTTTAAAATCGTTTCAAACTAAATTATCTGCCCCTAATAGCCGTCACCAAACCCGTCTCTTTGATTGTAAAATGTAAACAGCGTGACCACAGCTCACCAGACAATGTGGGGTGGGGGTGGTAGTGATAGTGATAGTGATAGTGATAGAGAGAAAGAGAGGGGACTGCAAGGAGGCGCTTGCAGCTTGTTTTCTAACTGATCCCAGAAGAGAATTATATATATAGATTGGAACCAATGTTTTTTTTCTTTAATCAGTTTTCGACTCTTGATTTTAAATTCGTAATTAAAAAATGTAATCTCTTACATGGTTCCTGAAAAAAAAAAAGAATTCCATATCAGAAAAAAAGTTTTTTTTCTCAATACCATTACCAAAAAATCTCGATTTTTTTTTTGCACGATAACAATATATCTCTTTACTTTGTATACGTGAAAGTAAAAATGTGAAGTTTATTTAACTTCACTCCCACAAAAACGTATGTCCTTTTACTCATGTCGCAGTAATGATGATTATAAATATTACAGAGCATAGGTGGTGTGAGGGCGTCAGGATCTCAAAGAAGCACAACACGATTGAAGCTATTACAGTATTTTTTATTTCACTATCTCCCGTCCTCCAGTCCCAAAATCCACCTCCTTGCTTTGACACTCAACCTTCAACTGTCCCCCGCATTCATTCCTACACACCACCTTTCTCTCGCTCACAACACAGCCGCTGTTACCCGACCAGTCGCTGACCTTGTACCCTCGTTCACTCCATACAACAACATACACGTCAACACACCCGGCCACGCGTCTCACTACATGATACATACACGCAGTGATCCGTCCCACGTATTCATCTTTCATACACATTACATCACCACAGGTGGTATGATGCTACCCCATTGAACTACAACATATGTTTCTTGGTTTTTATTACCAATTTTGATTTTTTTTTTAAATGTTTAATCCTAATCAAGGTGGGGGTCCTTTGTTGGACACTTCTGGGAGCTCTTCTCCCTCTTTTCTCTAAGCCAATCCAAACCTCACCCCCAAGTCGTCAATATTTGCTTTACCTTTCCACAGTTTATATTCTCTACAGCCTCCTCTTTGAAGAAAAAGTACACAAAGTCATTGATCTCATAAGCAGAAACAAAACTCCGAGCTAAAGTAGAATCAAAAACATTTATTAAAACGCTTATTACTGCTATTTAATCTTTTTAAAAGTGAATGCTAATTGCGCGGACGTCTGGAGAGCATTATTGATGGAATACACGGCCGTTTCTTTGAAAAGGCCATTTGATAAATCGTTTGCTTTTGTGTTTGCGTTATTGTTTGAGATATCTTTTGTGTTTGCATTTATGTTTCCGTTTGTGTTTGTGTGTGTGTTTGCTTGTTGCGTTTGTGTTTATGTTGTCTTTTAATTATTTTTGTTTTTTTTTGTGTTTGCGTTTCTGTTTGCGTTTGTAGTTACGTTTGTGTTTGTATCTGCGTTTGCTTTAGCGTTTGCGTTTAGGTTTGTGTTTGCGTTTTTATTTATGCTTGTTCGTGTGTTGTTGTTTTTTGTGTTTGCCTTTCTGATTTCGAATTGTTTGCGTGCTATTTTAAGCTTGCGCTTTGTTGCGTTTGTTTATGTGTGTTGTTTTTGAGTTTGTGCTTGCGTTTGTTTTTGTGTTTGCATTCGCGTTTGTGTTTCGTTTTCTTTTGTACTTGCGTTTTTGTAATAAATTGCGTTATTAGCGTGTTTGTTTAAGTTTGCGGTTTTTTTTTCGTTTCTTTTCTTTTGTGTTGTACTTGCGTTTGTGTCTGCGTTTGGATTTGTTTCTGCGTGTGTGTTTTCTTTTATGCTTGTGTTTGGTTTTGTTCTGTTCCCAAGTTGATACATTTTAAAAAGATTTACCGAGGCGGAGCAGAGGTCTGCAGCTAGTATTTACCAGCTATAACTGACCTGTGACTCATCAATAAAAATTAAGCAATAAGCCTTCAATAAAAACTGACCAGAGACCCATCTAATAACTGACCAGTGATTCGGCTATATTTACTGACCAGTGACCCGTCTAAAAACAGACCAGTGACCAATTTAAAACAATGTCACATGTGTTACGTCCGGGTTCGATTCAACTGAACAACAACAATTCGTGACACATATAGTATACTTTTATTTGGACTCAATTCTTTACACAACAGTGTAGCCCTCGCCCTAACCGCTACCAACTAACCGCTGACCTCCCACAATCGTTCACTCGCCCTTTTATACCCGCATTCGACCTTGGGATTACAATACATAACACACGGGGGTTAACTACACACTAGGGTAAACTCAACTCACACACGCACTCTCCCCTAAGTTCGAGACTATTCTAACCTATTCTAATCTGACCTCACAATAATACCCGTAACACCATGTACATTAACTGCACAGTGGCACATCTATAGCTGACCTGTGACCCATCAAAAATAACTGACCAATCACCAACCTATATTGGCTGATCATTAACCCATCTAAAACTGACCAGTGACCCATAAAAAAATAACTGACCAATCACCAACCTATATTGACTGATCATTAACCCATCTAAAACTGACCAGTGACCCATAAAAAAATAACTGACCAATCACCAACCTATATTGACTGATCATTAACCCATCTAAAACTGACCAGTGACCCATAAAAAATAACTGACCAATCACCAACCTATATTGACTGATCATTAACCCATCTAAAACTGACCAGAGACCCATAAAAAATAACTGACCAATCACCAACCTATATTGACTGATCATTAACACATCTAAATCTGACCATTGACCCATCAGTTATAACTAAGCAGTGACCAAGCTGTAACTCACTATTCAGCCAGAAAGAATTTAACTTTGGTGTAATCAGAACTTCACCGTTGTGGGCCCTCTTAACGATGAACGCGTAACGATCCTGTGGATTCGTCGCAGAAGCGCTGAACGCGTCCAATTTTTTCGTCATGACAACAACGGAGTTGTGTTCCGGGCTGAAGGGGCAATAACCCGAGTCGGTTGTTTTTCGAAGTATGATGTGAAGATTATCGGTCTAGAAATTAATGAAAAGTTGAGATTTTGATACACATGAATCAAACAGAAAATTTGAAAGAAATGGTTAAAATACAGTTTTATAAATATTAGCCGTCCCTGCCAGGCCGTGCACTGGCCCTCATTGAAAAACGTGTACATGACCGTGATCTATGTGTTTAAACAGCATATACAAGGCAATCCCAGTGTTTAGAAAATTATTCTTCCAAAATAATGTCTATACACAACTATAGACGCATAACCCTGAACTTAAATCTAACTGTAAACTTAACCCTAACCATAACCAACCACAACAAAAACTAAAACATTAACACAAACGCAAACTTAAACACAAAGCAAACATAAATTCAAACACAAACGAAAACTTAAAAACAAATATAAACGCAAACACAAACGCAATCGTAAACACAAACGCAAACACAAACACAAATGCAAACACAACGCCAACCAAAACGCAAACAGTAACGCAGAACATAAACACAAACATAATGCAAACACAAGCACACACGCAAAAACAAACGCAAACACAAACTCAAACAAAATCGCAAACACAATCACAAATACAAACGCAAACACACACACAAACGCACACATATTTTATAAATAACGCAGAACTTAAACATAAAATCAAATGCACACAAATAACGCATAGTGTTTAACGTATAGCCCGGAGCTCCAAATCACACTCTGCCAAGACGCCAGCGATAACGCTTGATTAAAGTTAGTTACAGACTATAATACCCCAAGTTATCCATAGTATTAAACTCACTAAACCGAACTTAGGCGCCGTAACGCACATGTGAAGACACGTGCGCCAAATAGTGCTCAGTCGTTGCGCCGGACAACGCGCTGGATTCAATTAAGTGCAGGTCTATAGTAACCTTTCTTATGTATAGTCCATCGCATGGTTAAAAATGAACGTTGTACCATAGCGCTCACATGAAGGCCCGGGGTACCAAATAGCACAATGTTTGTCGCCAAAAATTCAATTGAGCGAACAACTTTAATTCTCCATCTTATCCGCAAACGGAAAGATAAAAGTTAACATAGAGGCCATTTAGGAACGGCTGCTAAATAACTATTGATTAAACATAATTAGTTAACAGTACATTCAGTGTATAAAATAAATAAAAGGTAGTATTTAAAATACCATCGTTTTACCTACCACATAGTACTTTATCAATCTATGTTAATTATATAATAACTAGGCATACTGCCTAGCTTCGCTTAGGTTTTCAAAATCATTGGAGAATTTGAATACTTAATTAATAAGTGATGGATGAGGTGTGGAGTGCTTAAATTTAAACAGTAATGCTAATTTTAGACAAGAGGTTGTTTTATGTTGTTTAACAACCGTTTTCATAAAAAACTATTTAAAAGTACGAAATCTATGACTAAAATGGACTGCAGAGGTTCCATGAACAGTATATCTCATAATTTATATTACTAAAACATATATATATTTATATATTAAAACAAACGCTATGCTTTGTCATTTTCTGTTTCTGTTTAAAATAGTATACAAATATTTGAAAAATAATTATTTGAAAAGGTTACCTCCCTTGAAAATGGACCAAACGACGTATGTCTTTGTTTACTTTTTTTTAACAAACAGTTGCTATGCTTATATAAGAAAATACGATATATGAACATATTTAACGACTACAATGGCTTTTTCCGACGGGAATAACGTTTTTTTGTTATCCTCCAGGGTCGGTCTACGACCTCAAATAACATTAAGGGGATCGTTCGTCAATGTATTTATATATATCTCAAATAAGGAGAATTTCACTCGCGGTCATCTTTTTGCCCTGGTCGAGGGCTTTGAGTCTGACCAAAAGTTTTTCCATAGGGCCTAGTCATCTATAGATATGTATGCAAAACATTAGCATGATGTACAGATGTTAAAATTGTGTTGAAAATTCCTTGTTTTTCCCATAAAATACAACGATTATATTGGGAAATACGACTGGTCAGTTTTGACCCATTTCCCGAATTTTCTCGGACATGGCGAGTTTTTTGTGACACCCCAAGGCGTTCTTCCACCACCTCACAAAATTTCAAGGGGGGTCGTCGGAGGAAAATTGTTTTCGTAATAGAGCTCATATAAAGAGAATTTCACTGTCGGTCACTTTTTAGCCCTCGTCGAGGGCTTTTAGTAAAACCGACAGGTTTGCCTAACGGCCAAGCCATTTACCTATAAGCATGCTAAAAATTAGCCAGATGTAAAGAGAGTAATTGCCCTAAAATCCGTTTTTAAATTACCCTCTGTTTTTCCCATAAAATACAAAGATTATATAGGGAAATACGACTGGTCAGTACTGACCCATTTCCCGATTTTTCCCGGACAAGGCGAGTTTTTTGTGACACCCCAAGGCGTTCGTCGGAGGAATTTTTTTTTTCGTAATATAGCCCATATTAGGCGCCGGTCAGTCGAGGTCAGTCGTGACCCCCTCCCCGTGGACTTTTAGGCAAACCGTCACCGTCCCTCGTGTTCTATCGCCCCGAGGTACCATCGTGCCAAATTTGACGCGCCTGCGGCGCCGGGAAGTGCCATATCGGGCACCTGACCACTGTGCTTTTTTTTTCCAACATCAAATTAAACTAAAAAATTTTTTTCCCCCATGGTTCTAAGGGGGGTAATTTTTTTTTTTTTTGGTGATCTATCAAGGAATATAATTTGCGCGATGGGACTATGGAGAGTAATTTTTACACTTTTTTCAAACATAATTAGAATTTTTGTTTACGGTGATACATTTTCTTTGATTTTGTTCATTCAACATGACGTAAGATAAAATGGTTAGTTTGGAAAATGTAATTTGTTTTACAAAACCTTCTTTATTAATATATATATATATATATATCTAATTCTTTAATTTAGACAATAAACACTTTAAGAATATTACACAATGGTCATTTAGTCGAGTTTTTTACTATAAGCAAGTCCACCAATGCTTATATCTACATAGCCAAATACTCAATTTGTGCCTTAGTTTATTAGATGAAAATACACATATAATAACTCAATACACAATTTAAAGAAAATTAATGAGTTCGTTTTATTAAACTAAACGAAAAAATAATTGGAAAGAAAAAAAAAAGTTTCTTACTTTTCTGATAGTGCACTGTGGGGCGTAGCTGTGTGTACCACAGACAAAGATTTTATCGTCTTCATAAGGTATCAATACACGAATGTAGTTCCGGCACTTTTCCTGGTTTAGTGGACGTTACAGGGAAAACTTAGAACATACGCATACCTTTGGCTCAAGCAGAACATACGCATACCTTTGGGTCAAGCAGAACATACGCGTACCTTTGGCCCAAGAAGAACATACGCGTACCTTTGGCACAAGCAGAACATACGCGTACCATTTGGTCAAGCAGAACATACGCGTACCTTTGGCTCAAGCAGAACATACGCGTACCTTTGGCTCAAGCAGAACATGCGCGTACCTTTGGCTCAAGCAGAACATACGCATACCTTTGGGTCAAGCAGAACATACGCGTACCTTTGGCCCAAGTAGACACAGATATACCTCTTGTCTAACACAGACATACCTCTAGTATAACACAGACATGGTTCTAGTCTAACACAGACATACCTCTAGTATAACACAGACATTCCTCTAGTATAACACAGACATACCTCTAGTATAACACAAACATACCTCTAGTATAACACAGACATACCTCTAGTATAACACAGACATTCCTCTAGTATAACACAGACATGGCTCTAGTCTAACACAGACATGAGTAGTATATTAGGTCACTTTTGGTTATCATTTTTGGCGGAGGAGCGCAGGGTGAGGAGCAATGACATATAGTAAAATACTCGGGAGCAGGATGTGGGGAGGGCGCAAAGACATATAGTAAAATACTCCCAGCCTGGCGCATCGCAGGGTGAGGAGCGAAGGGTGGAGGGCGCAAAGACATATAGTAAAATACTACGCCAACTGGGGTTGGCGGAGGAGCTGCAGGGACAATGAGATATAGTAAAATACTCCCAGCCTGGGTGAGCCTGGCGCAGAGACTGGGTGAGGAGCGAAGGGTGAAGGCGCAAAGACATATAGTAAAATACTCCCCCACCCTAGGGTGGCGGAGGAGTGAAGGGTGGGTCACCTTTGGGTGACCTTGTGACGTAATCAGTGACCTAGTTACGTAATTTTAATGCATTTTTAATGAGTTTTTAAAATTTTAATTAATTTTTATTATCGAGTTACGTAATTTAATTACTTTGATTGTATTTTTATTTTGTTTAATTTGTTTGTTTACTTGTTGTTTAATTTAATTACTTTGTTTATATTGTGTAATTTTTATTAACGAGTTACGTAATTTGATTTTAAATTTTTAAATTGTTTATTTTTTAATTATTTTTATTTTTAAATTTTTAATTTAATTTTATTTTATAATTAGTTAAATTATTATTAACTAGTTACGTAATTTGATTTTAATTACTTTTGTTTATTTATTTATTTATTTGATATATTTCTTTTCTTTGATGTATGGTATTTAAAATAAAAGACACTGTTTAAATTTTTGACCTAGTTACGTAATTTTAATGTGTTTTTATTACGTAATTGTTTAATTTGTTTGATTTAAATTGTTTAATTACTTTGTTTATATTTCTTTTCTTTGTTGTTTAATTTGATTGTTTACTTGTTGTAATTTTTAATTAGTTTGATTTTAATTTTTATATTTTCCACCACAACGCGAACGTATACTTTGTATACCAGCCTTTAACCAGCCGTGCAACATGTGGTACATATCGATCCGCAATCCTTTGTTTTTGTCAAACACTGGACAACGGGCGCGTTAATATTGATTCCACCCACGGGCCATCACACCATGATGTCCCGCCTAATTAAATTTTGTTACGCATCGTCGATTTTATGTGTTGTTCACGGAAGCGAACACCGTAGGGTCCGGTGTTTAATGAGGTCCATTAACCGCGTCTCCGCGTTAAGTGTGGTAACAGCTGTACCACTTTAATTGATTTTTCCCCGCTCGGTTACTAGAGTGGGAAGCCATCACGTAACAGCTGGTGCTGTAATTACGCTGAGTAAGGACATTGGTTGTAACTATTCGCTTATAGCGAGGGTCAGCGAAAACAAAATATATTTAAGGGTTGGAATTTTCTTTCAACCACCGTTAAGTCAGGTTTGAGACGAAACAAAGTCTCGGTAGGTTCGTGTTTTTTAATTGGCGACAGGGCGACTTGGTGCGTTGGTACGTGAGGTATGCGGGGTAGACATGTTTTTTACAAGTCTGGAAAAGTAATTAAGTTTTTTATGACCGTTCCGATTTTCTTTTGATCTGACCACCATTTGACCACACTGAGCCAGATAAATTTAACAAATGTTCAATACATAGTCGCTTATAGTAACATTGGTGAGGGGTGTAAGCAGGCGGGTGGTGGTAAGGTGGTGGTGGTAAGGTGGTAGTGGTAAGGTGGTGGTAAGGTGGTGGTAAGGTGGTGGTAAGGTGGTGGTAAGGTGGTGGTAAGGTGGTGCTAAATTTGTTTGGATATATAGTAAAAGATTCCACCACCTAAGTGAGGTGGATTTTAATTTTAATTTTTTTATTTTATTTTTTTCATCATCTGTTAACTTTAAGGTTCTATAACTCTATATATTTTAATACGTTTTTTGATTCAAATGAGTTTACTCCCCCTAACGTAAGTACATGTAAAGAGGGATTTCCTATAGATCTGTAATGAATTAGGCCTTTTTGACTATGACTTGTTGCCCAGGTGTTGACATGATACACTTTTTTGAGATACATGTACACACACACACACATACACACGTACACACACACACACACACATACACACACACACACACACGCACGCGCGCGCGCGAAATTCATACTAGGTCGATAAAGGCGGAGAGAACTTATAGGTATACATTATCATGGTGACAACAAAAGCGATCCTTATTTTATTTACATGAAAGCGTGTTTTCCAAAAAGTGTCGCCATGCCGTTGTCATTTTCGCAGCGGGGTTTATTTTAAGTGCACCTCGTGCACGTTTGTTTACATTTTAAAAGACGTGTCGCGTGTCTTCCCCACATGTCTTCCCTAATAGAGAAACGAGAGGAAAGACAACTGTTCTAAAATTAGAACAACCTTGTTTACAGCCACGAGTATCGTCCCTTGTGAAACATATTCGCGTCAGAATCCTTAACTAAACATTCAATTTCTTTAACAAGTTAAAAAATAATTTAGGAAGACAAGGGTTAACAACATTAGACGCCACCGTTTTTGTTTCCTGTGACGACAAGGCACAATACACTTTTGTATTTTATGTCTCAAGTAGAGGGGTGGGATATTTTTTCTTTGTAAGCGTGTTGTAAACAATAGGTAGAGGAAGCTATTACTAAGTAAGAGGGGAGAGAACGTGACGTCCATCGCGATATTTGAAAACATGGCGATGTTTAACCTCAACCAAACAAGGCAATGAACCTAGAAGGAAGACGAATATATATCTTAGTCTTGCAGCAGATTACCTTCCCATGTTCGCTTTAGTATTACAGTTTTCATCAAACTTCTTTTTGACTTGAACTTCTTTAAGGGGATATGCGCGGAAAAAAATCACAAATTTTCTTGTTTTTCATCATGATCGGTTTCTTGCACTTTTGGATACTTTGTCCATTTTTGTATAAAGAAAATAATAACTTTAAAGGAAAAAAAATATTTTATGTGTTTGAATTACGATTTTTATGACCCTATTAATTAAAAATAATCAATTTTTCCCAATCTTACAAGCTCTCTATGAAAAGTTTTATATCCGTCATTATATTGTATTTGACATCATTGGAAAGCTGGATTTCTCATGTATCTAATAAACTTAATTTCCTACATCTCGGAAACACCCAAAGCTTACAATCGGCTTTGCAGTTTACACAGATATGGTACTTTCCTGACCTAGTTTTCGTTACTTTTGGCTGTTTTTCTCAGTTCGCATGTTTTTAACACTAAAAAGCCTACTACTTTTTTATTTATTAAACAATGCCAACCATATTTTCAGTAATTGTTCTTGATGCAAAAATACAACTTTTGTCACGAGGGAATTGTGATTGCTTTCATAGAAAAAAAGTATTTGGTAATTAATATGCAAATTTTGAAACTTTTGAATACTAAAAACGGTACGATTTTTTAGACCTTGTAAAATTCTTACTAGTAATTATTTCAAAAAGTTGTCGTGACAAAAGTTTTAATATATACTGAAATATAAGCAGTTTAAATTTGATTGCTATAGGTGCATAAATAAAAAAGCCTTAGTATTTTTAAAAGTACCGAAAAATTCAAAATGGCGGAAGTTTTTTGGGTTTCCATGACAACCAAAATTGTTTTCCACCCTTTTTTTTGCTGTTTAATACTTACTTCTATATGCCAAATATGATAAAAGTATTCAAAAGGCTTTAGATCTTAAACTGTAAAAAATAGAAAAAAACATAGCATATCCCCTTAATTTTTAAGAAAGTTTACTTATACATAAGACGTTACGTCTAATTACATTTTTTTATTTTTACCACTCAATGTATTTTCTTTTTCTATATCTTACATTGTCATCTTAATTTTTGATCACCTTAGTAAAAATTTGCTTAAGATTATAAACTTCAAGTTTTAAAAAACAACAACGTTATAGTACGGCGTGTCAAATGACACACCGTTTAAAATGTCTACATTTAAAGTTCACCAAAATAATGACGTAAAAACTAAATATGATATGACATTAGCATACATATCATGCAATCTAATCACTCTAAAGTACAAATCAATAATTTTTATTGATTAAGGGGCTGGGTGAGTTATTTTTATCACTATTCGCCCTTCCCCTTCCCTTTGTCCACAACCCTTTTCCCCTTCTCCCATCCCTAACCTCAATACCAACCGCTAGATACACAGACCGTAACACTACCCATTCTATTCCATTTAAGAGACAAAGGCTGTATGACAATCCTAAAGACAAATATTTATTCAACTAATATCACAACCCCTAGACACTACTCCAACAGACTGGTCTATGTAACTTGTAGACACTACTCCTCGTTGAATATCTCTTGCACCCTAGCCACCTATGTCCGCCGCCCTCACCCCCGTCCCTAAACACCCGCTTGATAAATAGACCGTACCTCTACCCACACTATTACTTGGACAGACAAAGTAACAGACAAACATTTATCCCCCTTCGTTTACTGTCACAAG